GAGAAGATATCAATTAGCGCAACTGTCCTCAAAAAATTCCTCTATACTATAGTAACATTCAGATAATAAAAACTTCTTGATTGCTCTTCGGAATACAAAAATATTGCTTGAGCATCTTAAATCGAGTGGTAGGTGATTAAACACTTTCTTACCAGTCTAAATAAATGATTTTTTAGTTAATATAGTAGAGGGAATTGGAAGTGGAATAACATCATTTAGACGAGTGTTATAAGGGAAAACTGTCCGAATATCCTGTTTACTATGTTTTTTTTTAAATTAAGCACGCTAATTCAAGTTATATATATGCAAGGAAGTGTCAAGATACCATGTTTCCGGAACAGAGGCCTGCATGATGTACCAAACTTGACTTTGCATAAATATGTAGGTGTCTCTTTGTAGCATAAAATTTCTACTGAAATGATGAAGAGAACAGCTACCCGAAAAGGCAATACCGTATCTCAAATTAGATTCAATCAGGGCCACATAAACACTTTTTACAATCTTGAAATGGTGAGCAACTGATTTGACCGCAAAGCAACCCGATGATACCTTTTTGCTTAAATATACAGTGTGAGGTCAAGTATTAAGCATTAGAGGTCAAATTGTAGTATGGTGCAACTTAACAAGTACTATATTTTGCCAAAAATATTTGTTTAGATAAGTTTAGGTTTCAAGAGAAATGTACAACAAAGATAATGGACTGTTTTGCTTTTTAATTACAATATACATATATTTTGTAAATGGAAAAGTTTGAAATACTTTAAGTTACACTGATAATGCGGTTAACAATCAAACAAAACACATAAGATGCCATGTAGATATATCAAGAAATATCTTTATGAAAATGAAGCTCCTTCCCTATAATCCTGTGCAAGAGGTATTTTACTACAGGCAGCTATGGATTTATGAATTTGTATTCATGATATGAAGAACAACAAATCCTTTTTTTTCATATCAAGTAGGAGAATCATTGAAAGGTCCAAATGAAAGTATGTACATTTTTGCTCAATTTCATTGAAGAACACGTACCCTTAACGGTAACTGAGTTGTATCTTTTCTCAGACGGTCAAAATAAAAACAATACCGTAATGAGATTTTTGTTAACGCTAACACCAAGTGGTCGGTTTTCAAAATATCACACATTACTTTCCAATGAGAGGACATTCTTTTAATGAATGTGATCGAGATTTTGGAATTGTGAAAAGAAAACTACGGAGACATGATAGACTATTCGCTCCGTGCGTGACCATGGTAGGGATACATTGAAACGATGCCAGCGTGCGTAGCGGCGAAATATGACAAAATGGGAATATTGGACAAAATATTTTTACGCATAAATTTTATCAAAAATGCGTGCAAATACACATTGCGTATTTAATTGTGCTAATAATAGCAAAAATGGTGATTGTAGTTTTCATAGGTTCCCAAAAATTACATATAAATTAGAAAAAAGAAAAAAAGATGAATTCGTGCTATTAATATGAAAAAGTAAATATCACATAGTTTCATTTTTATGCAATTGAAATAGAAAAAATTTAAATAATTTACCTTGAATGATATTTCATAAGGCTACAAGCTAACTGCAGATGACTTTAGCTTTTATATCCTAACTTTTACTATTATTGTTTTTATTATATGCTCTTTTGCGTGAAAAACTTGATTTGCCAGTACTAGATTTTTCCCTTTCTTTTCCGTTTGGAGTTGAAAAGGTATATTATGATGAATTTTGAGAAACCCAGTTTTTAATACTACATTTATTTTGTACATAAACTTTAAAATATAGCTAAAAAACTAATTTATTAATAATTGTCAATTTCGCATGTATTTAACAATGTCAAACATATGTCATAAGTTTAACCTGAAAATTGGGATTCCCAAATTGTCAGATGAAGGCGGTAGGTGTCGCATCAGTCACGCACGGAGCGAATACTCTCATGATGAATATATCTCTCTCATTGAGACTTGTTCAAAAAGTTAGAAAAAATAGTGTTCACAAAGTCGTTGGTACGAAAGTAATCGACTTCAAAAAATGGTGGCCACAACACTATAAGAAGCAAGTTTTGTCAATATCAAGCTATGGCAAGAACATTGCCACTGATAAAAAAGTTTCCTTGTCAAGTCAGCAATTTTTGAGTTTCCATATTCTAAGGAAACTCCTGGCAAAGTAACTGCACTTGTATTTATTGATGGAATAGTCCAGGAGTGTTTTGGACTAGCCAAAATACAAGAAAACAGAGTTAATCTTCCTGACTGCGCTTCATATCCTGCATATTCCGGCAAATTGCCTATTAATCATAACAAATAGAAGACTTAAAGAAACTATTGGTGTATACAGTGGGTGATCAAATTATTATGATCACTTCAAAAAACTTTATATTTTACTGTTTAATAAAGAATAAAACTACATAGAGTGTCTAATAATGTGAATATAATATAAAAATAGATTATAAACACGTTCTTTTACAAAATTTTAAAATATTTTTTTCTTTGACCTTAAATAACATTTTTTTTTAATATTTTGTGTGACCTCCTTTAGCTTCGATGACAGCTTTGATCCTCCTTGGCATGCTTTGAATGTTTCTCAGGCAGTTTCTTTTATTTTATCGTTTCTGTGCCAGGTGGAAATAAGTCTCTCAATTAACTGCTGCTTATTTGTGACAATTTCCTGGGCAATCCCCCCTCTTCATAAGCTCCCATAGATTTTCGATTGGATTGAGGTCTGGGGAATTACCTGGCCACTTCAGTACTTTAATTTTCTTTTTTTCCAGTACGATGTTACTCGTTTTTGCCTTATGGCACGATGCTGAATCGTGCATAAAGGTAAAATCCTCCGATTCGCCAAACCAGTCTTTGATTTGTGGCATGAGTTTTTTTTTCCAGAACTTCAATATACTGATGTTGATTCATCATTCCATTCACAATGTACAGCCTCCCTGTGCCCTTACTGCTGATCACAGACCATACCATAATCTTGAGAGGATGCTTTTCTCGCTCCACTATGCAATCCTTATGATATTTTTCACCCACTCGCCTTCGGACGAAGGCCGATTTATCCATGAGTATCTCCACTGTAGAATCATCGGAGAAACAAACCTGTGAATAAAAAAAACTATAAGATATTTTTTTAGGATAAAAACAGTGGTTATAGTGATTTAAACTTTAGTAGTGACGTAATTTACCTTATTCCAATCCTCAATTGTCCAATTTTGGTGTTCTTTGGCCCATTCCAGTCTCTTTTTCATCATTACGATGGTCAACTTTGGTTTTTTGGCAGGGCGACATGATTTGAAACCTTGCTCAGTAAGCCTTCTGCGGACTGTCATGTCAGAAACTGGCATACCAGCTTCACGAATAAGTCCCGTGAGGATTTTTCTTGGCTTCTTTCTATTGTTTACGAAGATATCCCTTATTTTTCTTTCGTCTCTGGGTGTAATGATACGCTTTCGACCACATTTTTGGGCACGCTTGTGAGTCAGGGGATTGTTGGTATCAATTTTTTTCTTGATATTGCTCACTGTTGCTTGCGTTACTTGGCATTGTTGAGCTATCTGACGTTGGGAAAGCTTTGTATTCAATAAAAGTGTCTTTATTTCCACCATTTTAGACACAGGGACGTCTTTAGCCTTACCCATTATGATTTTCTTCTCAAAAATCGAAATGTTTTGAAAATGTCTTTAAAATTAAAACTGATATTCTTTTTTCACTCACAATCACCACTAATAAATTAATAAAATATATTACAAAGATAAAAACGATACTAATCTTTCAAAAACAATACAAAAACATACAAATTCAGTTGTAAACTCCAAGCGTAAATTCACCACAATGTGTATGTTGTCACGTAATTTGACAGAAATGACAGTTCTATAGCGGTAAACGTCAAAAAAGTAAGGTTATCAGTGACAAAATATATTGGCATACCTTAATCGTACATCAGCATATAATTTTATTATAAAATTTCTGAACAAATATGAAAAACTTAAATTTTTGTGACTGATCATAATAATTTGATCACCCACTGTATTTCAGTAGAAAAAAAAGGAACATTGGTCCCATATTGTCACATAGCCTACAACAGAGCAAGATGAACCAGTAGAAGAGGATTTCTAATTAGTGTATAGTTTATTAGTTGTATTTTCAAAAATTTTTTTTTCATATTATTTGAATTAAACTGAAATAAAATAATGATTGTTCCATTTTTTCTTGGACTCGCACACATTTGTTTCGAAAAGGTAAACATATGCAAAATATTTAAACAAATATTCTATTGGTATAGTGTACTTTAAGCAATTGACAACCATGGCAATGTGCAAACAACACATCCACTATCAACTCATATATTTGAAAGATTTTTGTAACTACATCATTTTTGAAGAAAATCAGTTTTTTTTGTCTTCCTGTAAACTCTGCACTTATTTACATGTTACCTTTTCAAAATAAGTGATTCAATTATATTACAGTATTGTTTATTCTTCCCGTGCCTGATAAGAAAAAAATATATGTTAAGAAAGTAACACATTATCTGTGTTAATCGTGGACATAAAAACTGGCATTACCCAAATGCGTTATTAACAAATACCTCATGATAAGTATTAAAAAAACTTCCCAATTTTTAATCTGAAATTGTCATTAATTTATTATCTATGTATACAAGGATGATCGGATCAACAACTCCTTATATCAGATTAAACTAACGTTAAAATGAATTCAACGACAAAAACCAAAATAATGAATTTTGACGATAGAAGCATAAAAAACATTAAAGCCTTATTAGCCTTTTATATACATAGATACTTTTTTTCCCTTTACTAACTAACAGAATTTGTGTAGTTATTAATACTAAATGTTAAATTATAAACAAATGTCAGTGAAAAAAAAAAAACATTCGAAAAACTAGAAACTTAAAATTTCTAAAGTTTTATAAGTAATATTCTCAAACAGACATTTAAAAATTTACCAATTAGAGTACTCAGCCATTGGCCCGAGGCATGAATGTTGAATTTTTAACGAGAGTAACATTTTTTATTTTAGTTATACAGGACAGTACAATATCTTTAAACAATTTTTAACTTACAAAGTTAAACCTATTTTTTCTTTTTTCCTTTGCCCCCTTTTCCCTTTCCTTTTCCTTTTCCCTTTCCTTTCTTGCCTTTAATCTCAGATCCAGCATCTGCAGGATCGTATTGTGTTTCAGTTGTAACCTTTTGCGGAATTGGTTTTAGCTCCGGACCTTTGGGCGTACACAATTCAAGTTCAAGGTTTTGTTTCTTGTCCACACCTTCACTCTTTTTACCTATTCTTAATACAAAGAGCTCTTTATTGGGATCGGAGAATTCTGCGCACTTGGCTCCGTTGGGCGCCGTACTTACTGGTGGATTGACCACTACGTTGTTCCCTCCTGGTTGACCTTGTTGACCTGGGTACAAAAGATGATGTGTCAGAATTGTATGTGCGATATAATGCAAAAGAGATAAATTTTATTCCTACCTATAAGCTAAAACTGTCGTTTTACCTGGCCGTTTAAGTGTCACAAACAGAGTACTTTTTTGCTTATTTCAATAGCTTTTAAACACATATTTCCATGTCAAGGGATCAAAACATTGAAAAAAAACCTCTATAAAATATCCTGAAGATAATATTAACAGTGAGTGTAACTCAAAAAAGAAATGATGTCAAGAATTGAACAAGCAAGAAAACATTTTGACATTTTTTTACAAGATTAGTCCTTAGTCTAAAGCTCAAAAATCGGATACTGCGAATTTCATGGATACAAAAGACCACCAACGACAGGATTCTCTAATGCATGAGTAAAAAAATTGCATGAGTAAACTATTAAATATAATCAAATAAAGATAAATGCTGAAAAATATTAAGAGGCGAAACATACGAGCTACGTCGAGTCACAATACTGCGTAAAACAGGGGTGCTCAAACGGTCGATCGCGAGTGCTTTTTTGGGTAGATCTCGAGAAGAAAAAAAATTTAATAAGTAGGTAGGTAACTAAACTACTGTCAGCAGAGTTAAACGTTTTTATTAATACTGAACTATACAAATACATAGAATGCTTGACTAAGCATCATTGCAATTCAATTGGGGACAACAAAATACTGTCCACACAGCATATTTTATATTTACATATATTAACTAATATTTTATTAATTCAATATTTATTATAATTATTAATCAAATTTGGGATGATATTCTATCAACTACAAAAATGTATTACGTAATAAATAACACTGCTTGCGGCAAAAGGTGGCTTTATCAAAGGAACGCGCGGCACTTGTCAAAGAAAAGCCGTGTTTGTTTCTAGACGAGAGACAGTATAGGTCTAGTTTCGGGCGGCGCGTTTGACGGGAACATTCGACACTTTCGTTCACGCCGATATAAATGTTGCGCCTGCAGGAATTTGAGTTATTCTGAATTGTAACTGATAGCGATCCTACGTCGATACAAAGTTTATTATTAAATAGTGGAAAATGAGTGCAGTGAAGAAATCTCTAAAACGTATCATTTTAATAAGGATTGGGAGGAAGAATTTTTCTTTTCTATGGTGAAGGATAAGTGCATTTGTGTTATTTGTCGTGCGTCAGTTGCAATACCTAAGCGTGGTAACTTAGAGAGGCATCATAAAACGGTTCATAAAAACTATGAAAAGATTTTCCGCCACAGAAGTGAATTAAGAAAACGAAAAGTAAGTGATTTGATATCTTGTTTGAAAAAAGAAACATCCATGTTCACAAGACCAGCCAAACAATCAAAAGCTGCTACGATCGCGTCATTTAAAATATCTCATATTTTGGCGAAACACAAGAAACCATTTGAAGATGGATCGGTGGTGAAGGAAGCATTTATTGAAGCGGGTGAGACTTTATTTGGAGATTTTAAAAATAAAACAGAAATCATGTCTGCTATTAGAGAACTTCAGTTATCTCGTCCGACTGTCACAAGACGTATTGAAGTCATGAGTCAAGACATCGCAGATAAACTAAAACATGATATCATGGAATGTACATACTTTTCTTTACAGTTCGATGAATCCATCGATATGACAGACACTGCCCAGCTGTGTATTTTTATTCGGATGGTATTCAATGACATGTTGGCTAAGGAAGAATTTTTGACAATCATTCCTCTGAAGGGAAAGACCCGTGGCGAAGATATATATGAGGTTTTCTTAAATTTTTGTAAAAAACTACGAGCTACCAATATATAAATTAATGTGCATTACAACCGATGGAGCACCAGCAATGACTGGAAACAAAAACGGTTTGTGGCATTGTGTCGAGCTAATGAAGAATTCCCTTCATTTTTTTCATTCCATTGCATTCATACATGAACAAGTTTTTGTGTTAAAAAGTTTTAAACACGGAGGAAATTATGGGCATTGCAACAAAAATTGTGAATTCCATCCGTGGCACGTAGCTTGCAACCGGCGGCTCTTTCAGTTGCAGTTGGAAGATAGGGAGTCAGCTGAACACACTGATTTAGTAACTTCACACGGACGTCAGGTGGTTGAGTCGCGGAAAATTCCTAGAAAGGTTTTAAGAATTATTGCCCGAAATAACAGCTTTTCTAGACGAAAGAGGTCATGACACTCAGATTTTGAAAAACGAAAAATGGCTAAATGATTTGGCATTTTGACTGACATCACAATGCACTTAAACACAGTTAACTTGGAGCTACAAGGTAAAGGAAAAACTATTATTGAGATGATTAGCGCAGTAAACGCATTTAAAAGTAAATTGCAACTTATGATAGATCAACTGAAAAGAAAGGATCTGAAACATTTCCGTCTTGAAAGCAAGGATTCCTCAGTTGAATTATGATACGTATGAGGCTGAATTATCAAATATTTTGGGACAATTCGAAATGCGTTTTTATGATTGCAGTAAATTGGAAATACAGCATCATTTATGAGTTATCCTTTTTCATGTAAAAACATTGAGGAATTAGCTACTGAAATAGCAAGTCAGTTTAATATGAACTCATGTTCTGTTAAAAATGAGTTGGTGCAGATTATATCAGATATACATCTCAAAGCTACAGTATCTGATACAAATTTCTGGCGTTTTATATCTGAAGATAAATATCCGAGTGTAAGGCAAATCGCCCTTCAACTGACGGCATTTTTTGGATCAACTTACTTGTGCGAGTCTGCATTTTCTGAAATGAAGATAATTATGTCAAAATATCGCAAATCGACTAACTGACGATCATATGACATCATGCTTGCGATTAGCACTCAGTGGTTACGTACCACCTTATGAAAAGTATGCTGAGGACATGCAGTGCCACGCTTCAACATCCAAGCCACTCCTTAGTTAAGTTTAACACCATATGTAACTCTTTGTTTTGTAAACAACAAATAAACTCGCAACTTTGAATAACTATGAGTTTTTTCATTGATATTGTAGAGAAAGAACTAACTAAACCTAACTCAAACCTTGACTAAAATAATGTACCTATATTGTGCAGAAAGCTAATATCTATGATTGCAGTAAATTGGAAAATATAGCATCATTTATGAGTTATCCTTTTTCATGTAAAAAACATTGAGGAATTAGCTACTGAAATAGCAAGTCAGTTTAATATGAACTCATGTTCTGTTGAAAATGAGTTGGTGAAGATTATATCAGATATACATCTCAAAGCTACAGTATCTGATACAAATTTCTGGCGTTTTATATCTGAAGATAAATATCCGAATGTAAGGCAAATCGCCCTTCAACTGACGGCATTTTTTGGGTCAACTTACTTGTGCGAGTCTGCATTTTCTGAAATGAAGATAATTAAGTCAAAATATCGCAATCGACTAACTGACGATCATATGACATCATGCTTGCGATTAGCAACTCAGTGGTTACGTACCACCTTATGAAAAGTATGCTGAGGACATTGCAGTGCCACGCTTCAACATCCAAAGCCACTCCTTAGTTAAGTTTAACACCATATGTAAACTCTTTTATTTTGTAACAACAAATAAACTCGCAATTTTTGAATAACTATGAGTTTTTTTTCATTGATATTGTAGAGAAGAACCTAACTGAACCTAACCCAAACCTTGACTAAACTATATGTGTGCAGAAAGCTAATATCTATACCTATATGCTACGGTACGCCCTACCTAGGTAGGTAGGGTGTATCGTGTATGTACGACAACACTGCATCACACACACTTGCAGTCTCTCAGAGTCGATCGTAAGTAGTCTAAAAATATTGAGGTAGATCGCCAGCAGTTCAAGTTTGAGCACCCCTGGCGTAAAATATAGGGTTATTTATTTTTAACATATGGCTTAATACATGGAATCAATACAACAATAGTTATAAAACGTAAGTAGAAAATTAAAAATACAAATATAAGCTTGTGTAAAAACTAGAATTAAGATAAAATACAAGATAATATAAACAAATGCAAGGTTGTATCTTTAGATCAAGTTGATCTATCCATTCACGACTTGAGAGTGTAGCTGTAAAGAAGTCTGTTGAGTGTTGGGTTCTTCTCGGTATGCCGAGGATAAAAGAGCAGTAGGAAGACGCCAGGGTTAAAGGACGTAAAGTGGTAGTTTCACAGCTAATATACAGAAATCTTTCGTAATGCAGTTTGCAAAACTAAATCTACGAGGTACCGTCTATACGATTATATCGTAATATCGTACGTTTACAAAATACGCAGATTACCCTGCATATTTATAAAATGCTGTACATCTAGAGTAGGAGAAAACAATAAAAATAATATATACTAACCCATGACGTATAAATAAAGATACTAACCCATTTTAAAGGCAAAGGGAAGATTTTCTCCAGCTTGACGTACTCCTGGCCGCATGTTAATATTCATTTTATTTTTTTCATTTGCACATATGCAGCTTCCTGAATAGTCACTTGTTGGCTCGATTTTACCTTTGTCTTTGTGAACTCGTATTGTTAGCGAATTTCCTCCCATTGAAGCGCCGATTTCTTGATAATTTCCTAACAAACATAATAATATGAAAGATTTTATGAGTATTTAATTTTTAGATTGTATGTTAGTCACCATTATGCTGTTTCCCTTACGTACGTTAATGTACTATGAATTTTAGAAAAGGAAAATATTCAAAAGAATTCTAGGATTAACAAAAATCCAAAAAGGAAAAGTTAGAAAGACAATTAGAGAAATTTAATCGAGGAATATGAAATATAATAAAATATATCGTTGTTCATATGGACAAATACGACACACGTAATGTAAACAAAGTAAAACACTTTTGAAAAACAAAATCCATATTTTGTTTTTTTAACAATCGGAAAAAATCACTTTTATCATGAGCTTAAATATATTGATATACATAACAAAAATATTGTACTTCAGAGATTTGTCATTGTCAGAAGTCACTAGAGTGGTAATTAAGATCATATTTTATTTTAATATGACATCCTTGTCCAATTGTTTTTAAAAACGCGCCGTAATTTTGATGCACATCCCCCCCCCCCCCGTATAACTTATTCGTCTTAAAAGAATGTGTGAATAATTAAAATTATTTTGATCGTCGATTCTCGAGAGATGACGCAAGCTTCTCAAGAGGTTCTATAACCTCTTTTTCTACTGATCGGATTTGATCGCACAATGGGGGGCTTTGGCGTCATTTTGACGGGATACGCGAAGTTTCCAATAAAGTCGGGTCCTTTCTGTTTGTAACCACAGAACAAGCCACACGTCAGGTGAGTTGTTATAATTTTTCTATAAACAAAGTTCTATCGGTTTTATTATGGCTAGAGCATTAACAGCTTTCTCTTTCACTTTTTTAAAGAAGAAAGAAATAGTAATATTTCCTTTCAAATATTGGACTACTGTTTGTCTTCAGTACTATTGGTCAATTTTATTGTTCTCTTTCTTTAAATGAAAATAAGCAGTGACATCGAGTTGTTGTACCTTTTGGCGGACTAAGTAGTACCAAGGCGTAATTATGAATAACTAAGGTGGATTGAGGATGATTAGAGGCTTTTGCTGAATTATGGAGTATCTTTAACAGATTTAAGAATAATAGTTTTACTTGATAAAGATAGCTAGGTAGGTATATATTATATATTTAATAATTTTATCTTTTGTATATCTCGTCTCTTTTCATCCAATTCTAAGTAACTATAAGAAAAATTTGGAGGCGCCCTTTTCGGCAAATTGTTTATATTTTTTTGTTTATTTATTCAACATTTCTGGTTTGGCTCTACTAGCTATCATCTCCTAATTTTTCTCCTCTTCAATTTTTTTGTTTGTGTGGTAGTAAGAATGTGGTAAGAACCAGAAAGAACAACAACTTGATGTCACAGCTTATTTCCATTTCAAGGCAAACCCTTAGCTCCCTTTAGCATAGAGGAGTTAGAAGAGATATTATGCGACTCGGATTATGATGACGACGACCCGACTTTTTCTTTACGTGAGGAATCGAGAAAATCTGGCTGGAGTGACTACTGATGACGAAGAAGAATCTGACGTAGGGCAAAGCAGAAGAGGAGGAGCTGGATTCGTCACAGTATCAACTGCTGATACGACCCAAACTTCCGAAAGATGACGTTCCCTTGTGCAACCCTCAACAGCAGCAACCGGTAGATCCTGGGCAACAAACAGGTACACTCCCGATTATTACTTGGTCATATAATCCGCCGGTAGGCGCCTCAACGAATTACTTTCGTTGAAAAAAACGCCAGCTTCTTTGTGGTACCTATGGAAACCACCCTGCAGATTAGTTTGATCTAGTAGTAAACGAGAGTTTTTATGAACTTATTTGCTCAAAAAACCAATAAGTATGCTGTCCGAGTTCTCCTCTCTGTAGGGCATGAAGAATATTCTAGAATAACTAGATGGAAGGATGTAGCGACGGATGAACTGAAAATATTCTTTGGCTTATTATTACACATGGGTACAATTCGTTTCAATCGCATACAGGACTACTGAAAAAAAAGATCCATATTTGATATACCAATCTTTTCTGCCAATATGAGCCGTGACAGGTTCTTGTTGATTTTTCGATGTCTTCATTTTTTCGCCAAATCCTGAAAGTAACGAACCGGTGCCTGAGGACAGACTTTTCAAGATATCGGCCGATTATAAAATTACTTCAATGATAAAATGAAGGAGATTTACTACCCTGATAAATGTTTGTCCCTCGACGAATCGATGATATCTTTGGCGTGGAAGACTTCTATTTAGGCATTACAATCAAGAACAAACGTCACAAATGCGGAATAAAGTTGTATGCTCTCACGGAACCCCGATGGGACTGTCATAAAAATTCTCTATTTATATACTGGAGCACTTGACGACGATGGTGGAAAAGGACACACCAGCAAGGTGGTCATAGCAGTTGATGAACGAGAAACTGGATGCGGGTCATTAGCTATATATAGGTCAATAGCTATGATTTATCTCTTTAGCTATTACAAAGAAAAACTTTATGCACGGAGCAACAGAAAAAATACACCACGGGACATAAAAAAACAAATCTGGCCAAGGCAACACTCTAGCATGCTATGTCGAATGACGTCATGAACGGAAAATGGCGGGATAAACGTGAAGTAGATTTTATTTTCAACTGAATTCGTCAATGACATGGTGCAATTTGAAACACGAAGACACCAAGTTTCGAGAGAAACCCACGTCCAATTCATTGAATATAACAAATATGGGTGTTTAGATAGAAAAGACCAGATGATGGCCTATTACCCTTTCGAAAGAAAAAGTATCAGGTGGTACAAAAAATTAGAAGTACAATTTTTCACATGCTTTTGACTAACGCGTATCACCTTTTCAAAAGATACGGCAACTCACGCATGTCTATTATACGATTTTCGGCTGCGTGTCATTAGACAATTGCTGCCATCAACAAGAATTGTAACAACATCCAACCCGTACAATAAGACATAATCAGGAACATCAGTTGGAGAGAAACATTTTCAACAAAATCAAAAAAAGTAGCTCCGCGGCGTTGCGTGGTATGCTATAAAAATAATATTCGGAAGGATATCTCATACTGTTGTGGAACATGTCCTGCAAAACCAGCTTTGTGTGCGATTGGCCTTTGTTTTTCCGAGTTTCATAGAAATTTGTGAAAATTATCGTGTTTTTAGTTATTACCATCATCATCATCATCATCATTAGCCATTTTGCGTCCACTGCTGAACATAGGCCTCCCGTAAATAATTCCATTGCATCCGATCTTGAGCAACTTGAATCCAGTTAGACTGGATGCGCTTTAAATCGTCCGACCACCTTGTTGGAGGACGTCCTCGACTACGATAAGCATCGTGTCTAGGCCTCCACTCTAAAATTTTCTTTGTCCATCTTCCATCTCTGACCCTAGCAACATGTCCTGCCCAGTTCCATTTCAGGGTTGTAATTCTTTCAACTGCGTCCGTCACACCAGTTTTTCTCCTTACTATCTGACTCGAAACTCTGTCCCTGAGTGATACGCCCAACATTGACCTCTCCATCGCTCTCTGTGCCACTTGTATCTTATTAATTACTTTTCTGGTAAGTGTCAATGTTTCTGCTCCATATGTCAGAACTGGAAGTACACACTGATCAAAAACTTTTTCTCTTCAAGCACATGGGAATAGCTGATTTAAAGACTTCCCTCAGTTTTCCGTAAGCTGCCCATGCCAGTCCTATTCTCCTTTTTTAACTCTGTTGTTTGATTGTCTCTTCCAATTTAATCTCGTGGCCCAGATACTTATAGGAATACACTTGTTCAATTTGCGTGCCATTAGTGGAAATGTTTTTTGCCAGTACCAGGTTGGTCATGTATTGTGTTTTGGAAAAATTAATTTTAAGGCCAACTCGTGCACAAGAGCTCTGAAGGTCTTGAAGAAGTTGGCATGCATGATCTACCTGATCTCAATAAGGACTATGTCGTCTGCAAACCTCAAGTTGTTCAAAATTCCCCATTTATATTTAATCCAATATTTTCCCAATTATTTTTTCTCATAGCACTCTGTAATAGGGCGGTGAATAGTTTAGGAGAGATAGTGTCTCCTTGCTAATACCTTTCTCCAAGGAAATGTGTCTGTGTCACCATAGTACATTTTTACAGCAGCTGTTGCGCTATCATATATATTTCGAAGAAGAGTTGTGTACCTATGGTCAATACTGCACTCTGTAAGAGTCTTAACATGGAGCTATGCTGGACTGAGTCAAATGCTTTTCTCAAAGTCTACAAATATTAATATCAATGGCTTGTTGTATTCTATAACTTTCTCTATCAAGGATTTTATTACTTGTAGGTGGTCATTTGTTCCAAAGCACTCCTAAATCCGGCCTGCTCTAGAGGTTGATGAAAATCTAGCTTAGGTCCAGTCTGTTAGTAATTATTCTCATAAAGAGTTTATATAAATGAGATAATAAGTTGATAGGTCTGTAGTTGCCAATTTCTGTTACATCTCTTTTTTATGCAATATTATCATAATGGCATTATTCCATTTTTCTGGCGTATTTCCTTCAAAGAGGCAGGCATTATAAAGGGTTTTTAAAGCCTTTATGACGCATTCGCCTCCTAGTTTTATCATTTCACTTACAATGCCATCTTCTCCAGGTGTTTTGTTGTTCTTCATACCTTTTTATGCTGATCTTAATTTCCTCTTCGGTTATATCTGGAAGTCCTCTTGACCTTGATTTAGTATTGCTGGTAATTTCTACTTCGGGAATGTGATCATCTCGACTATATAATGTTCTATAGTACTCTTCGATGATTTTTTAGTATCTCTTGTTGTTCATGTATGACATGTCCTTGATTATTTTTAACTTATAAATATTCCTCGTTCCTATTTTCAACTTTCGTTTTAGAACTTTTAGGCTTTTGTTTTGTTCTACGGTATCAGTTATTTCCTTAGTGTTTAAAGTTCCTTATGTCTTTCCTAATGGCTTTGAAATGGTTTTGTTTAAATTCTTAGCTCTGCAATGTTCGTTGTATGCTTTTTTCTTTCCCTTCTTTTTGCATTAG